TATTTAAAGAACTATAGCTAGAAGAAAAAGATAAACAAAACTAAACTACAAGGATTTCCATCCATTCATATATAAATTTAATGTATAAACTACGGCGGCTCTTTTTTGATTTTTGTATAATTTATTACTAAAAATGCTTTTTGTTGTTTTAAAAATTTTTGGTTTTTTTTTATTGTGGTGGAACTTTTGTGGAATGTGTTAAAAACTAAAACTAATTTGTTGTTTCGAAAAAATTCAAAAAGAAAAAAATTTCAAAAAAAATACAATAAACAAATTAACTAAAAACAAGAGTAATAAATTAAAAAAAAGAACAAAAAGTATATAATTAAATAATAATATAAATAAAAAACTTTTCTAAAAAAACTAATCTAATTAAATAATTAAAACATTATCAACAAAAAATTCAAAAAAAAATTTTTAATAAACTAAATCAACACAAATTCCATTTAGTTGCACTTTTTTGTTCACTATTTTTCTTTTCTTGAAATATTTTGAAATTGAATCATGTTTTTTTAATTATCAATATGATTTTCAAAATATCATTTCATTATTTTCTTTTTTTTTACGATTTAATTTTATGTGATTGTGTTTTAATGATTTTACGTTTTTTCTTTAAAGGGAAACTGACTGACTGATATGATTGATTTTTGTTAAAAAGGTTTAACTTGAAATTATAAAATTTTAAATAAATTGAATTTCCAATTATATTGACTTAAAAGACATTGTGTTAAGTTTTGACGTTATTAAAAGGGAAATGACAGTTATTTTTTTGATATTTTCTCAAAACTAACTAAATTTTTAACTAAAGCTTCGTAAAGTCAAGTTAAAGTCTTGTTGGCAATTGCTTTATGTATAGCTTAAATATTTAGTTTGAAAGATTAAGAACTGTTCTAACACCAGGACCACTATCTCAGCACTACAACTCTGTTATTGTCGACTCAAGACTTCACTTTTTGTTATGAAATTTAAAGTGGGCGGAAGGTGGCATGTCCATATAATGTAAAAGCAAACTTACGTATTTCTGAGAAATTATAACAGTTTGGGTTCCTAAATTTTGTAATGAAAACTCTGATATTCGCATGAATAACTGAAAATAGTGGGCGGTCCTACAATAGTGGGTGTGGAACTAAGAAATTCCAAAATTATGTAAGAAAAACTCTGATATTTGTATGAATGATTGGAAAAAGTGGGCTGACCTATAATAGTGGGCGTGGGGCCTACCATATAAAGTAAATATTAAATTTCGCAAATTTAAGAAAATATAAAAGCAGGAATACTTCAATTTATGTACGAATAACTTTACTGTTTATACAAATATTTAGAACAACATGAAGTTATAGTCGGGCGAGGCCGACCAGTTATAAAAATAAAATATGATTTAGTGTTCATTATAAAGAATTCAAGTTGAATTGTACCTTGTCTCAGATATACTTTAGCCATTTTTTGTTGAATAAAATTGTGTACATTTAAGTCATATTTCGAAGGGGTCTTTGTATAGAGGCTAGGGTCAAATGAGAACCTATCACCAAAAAAATTCATCAGGCTCATGAAAGCTAGTATAGAACTTGGTTTTGCAGCAGAGATACAAGCCAAGACGGCTCAAATCGGCAGCAGCTGGCCGCCGGTAATATTTTACAAGCCGCGCCGACGCCGACTTTTTTCGGCTTAAAAGCTAAGCCGGCTTAAACGTAGCCGCTGATAAAGATTGGAATCGCACATGTATTTCAGAAAATAATTTCATCAATTTGAACGGAGTTGCCACTATTTTAAATTCTTATGCAAATTGAAAAGAGTTGTGCTAATATTAAAATAGTGAAAACTACTATACTTACTACTACTTAGAGACAGGTTTCTATATAACATACTATTATACAAAGATTTTTCAATATAATAAACGGAATAAGGTCAATTTCTGAAGAAAGAGTTAAATTGAGCAGGCAATTTAGCCGCCGTCAGACAATTTAGCAGCCGACCTAAAATGGTTGCTCCGCCGCCGCCGATCATTTCGCATCGGCTTGTATCTCTGTTTTGCAGCTTTTTGTCGAGATACGAGTATATAGAACATAATTATGAACTTAAAAGTCCCATTCGGTTCAGTTGTATGGGGGCTAGGTCAAATATTGGGCCGATGTTACCCATTTTCAAAAGGATTCTTCTTTAGTACAATAGATCATGTGCAAAATTTCACAGAATTACAAAATTGCGACCTGTACTTTGATTACAAGCACTTTTCGAGGGTTTAGTTGTATGGTGGGTAGGTGAAATAATGGATCGATCATAACCATTTTCAATAGGCTTCGTCAAAGAGACAATAGAAGATCATGTACCAATCATCATTGAATTATCTTCAAAAATGCGACCTGTAGTTTTCCAAGTTTTACATGGACGGACAGGCAGACAGACAGACAAACCGACAGACAGACAAACAGACGGATGGACGGACGTAAAATCGGACGTAAATCAACTCAGAAAATGATTCTAAGCCGATTGGTATACTTTAAGGTGGGTATAGGACCAATATTATTGTGCGTTAAAAACATCAGCACAAACCCACTATAGTGGTGTAGGGTATACAAATAGAAGGACCAAAAATTATGGGTGTGGCACCTCCCACATAAATAAAAAATTTCATTTTATATAAATAAAAAACAAAAAGAAATTTGAACAGATTAACATTACTATCCATTGAACTATTTAGGACCAAAATGGGCAGGCCAACTGTAATGGGCGTGGCCTACCATAATATTAAAATAAAGGAAATTATATCAGAAACTACTATAGATTAGCGTAGCACCAATATAACATAAAAAAGTTTGTATAGGTAATATTTATTATCATTGACCTGTCAACAAATACGCCACGCCCATTTAACAGATTTTGTATGACCCATTATATTGATGTAGTCTATAAACATGCGAACAGATTTATTTCGATACGGCTTTGCAAAAGCGAGTTAAGACTTTATTTCGGCTAGACTAAACCACTGTGCGCTACTGCGCCGGGCATTTGGATTTCAATTGAGAGTAACATAATACGTCGCGATTAATGAAAACCCCTTTAGTGTCAGGACAAGAACAAGTCGCAAGTCGTGTTTAAAATAGCTTCACAGATGTATTAGAGATATTATCTTTTTATTCTGAAGAATATACAAAATTGTTTGTGCTGAATTCAGATATTACCAATCATCAAATGTTTATGTGATTTCTTAGTCGCATATTTTAATGAAATTCCATTTTCTGAATTGGATGTACGTTTTTGGAGTAAATTTTGAACAAAATAACACTTCAAAATGAATTATTAAGAAAATACAATATTTGACGTTTATAATACGTTTTAAAGATAACGTGATAAAAACAATTAGAATTTGTTGGACCAAGGATATGTTTTGACTAGAAAAGTATGTATAAGTATTTTTCTGACTCACTTCTTAGTCCCATGATCAAAGCAATTTGTAATTTGATATAATATATCAAAGGAGGCTTAGCGGTTAATGATTACACAAAGTAATTCATTATATAGTCAATTACAATTACTAGTAGTGTGTAATTGAGCAATAATCAATTACAATTACTTGTAATTGTAATTTAAGTGTTACTAATTACCAGGGTTGGGAAGTAATGACTACATTTTCAATTACAATTAGAATTGAAGTAATTGTAATTAAAACTTTACCAATTACAATTAATTGAAACCTTACCAATTACAATTACTTGTAATTGTAATAGAAGTTTTTCCAATTACAATTTTTTGTAATTGTAATTGAAGTTATGGCAATTACAGTTACTTGTAATGGTAATTGAAGTTTTGCCAATTACAATTACTTGTAGTTGTAATTGAAGAATTTCCAATTACAATTACATACTTGTAATTGTGAATTTCCTTAGTTACATGCAATTTGTAATTAGTAATACCTTAATGACAATTACAAGTAATTTTAATTGGAAACTTCAATTACAATTAATTGTAATTTGTTATTGGCCAATTACACATTACAAGCAATTGTAATTGGAAAAACTTCAATTAAAATTACAAGTATTTGGTTATTGGTACACATTACAAGTAATTATAATTGACAATGTAATGAATTACTTTGTGTCATCATTACACCCCATGTCTGCTACTTACAAATCACATGTAATTATAAGGGAAAAATCACAATTAAAAGTAATTATAATAGGAAATTTTTCAATTACAAGTAATTGTTATAGGAAATTATTCAATTACAAGTACATAATTGTAATTGGCAAAACTTCAATTACAAATAATTGAAATTGGTTGTTGCTCAATTACACATTTCAAGTAATTGTAATTGGTAAAGCTTCAATTACAATTACTACAAATGTAATTGTAATTCAAAATGTAATCACTGGCCCCAAACCTGCCTTAAAGACTGCCCTATTTTGAGACGAACGAACTAATACCATGAAATTAGTGGATTTAAGGTCCGCAAGACCTTTAAAAATTTAATATTAAGTGTGAAAATCTGATTACAGCCATGACAGTATTTTATTTCAATCGAAATATATGAAATACTTCAAGCTTTTTAGCAATGGAACCTACATATATAACTAGAGTTTTTATGAAACGCATAAAAGTGAGTGAATAAAAGAAATAATTTCTAAAATTAACTCTAACATCTAGAAAGCATTATTATTTTTAAGCTATATTGTTTTGCACATAATTCCTACAATTTATTAAAATTCTACGCCTATATTAAAAAAAGTATTTATACTAATATAAATTTTCACTTCATTTCCCATTAAACGTTTCACTTTAACACAATGTCTTCTTTATTTTAATGAAAAAATTTCATTAAAATGAGATTAAAATGTATGCATGAATTTTTATGTTTAGAAAGCATTTAGCCACAAAATATTCAATAAAATCTCATTTATGACAACATTTCGTGATTTTTTTCCTTCAATTTTTTTGGTTTATAATATTTAGCCAAGTTAGTATAATAATAAAAATGAATGTTTAATAAAAAATTTAATTTTTACTGAAATTCATGGTAGATACTAAAGAGAGAGAAAAAAAAGAAAGAAAAGAAAAAAATATATAAAATGAAAAGAAAATAGCCAAGGAAAAAATCAAATAGAAAGTTTAAAGAGAAAGAGAGAAAAAGGTGATGAAATATACAAATTTAATACTAATTATAAATATTTATAATTATGTTTAAGTATTTTTATTTTTTTTTGTAATAAACTTTTCAACCAAAAATAGATTAATGAGATTTTCTAGACAATAATTTAAATCATTGCAAACGAATGAATTTTGAAAAGAAAATGACAAGAAAAATAGAAAGTATGGCAAAAAAGGGCAAGCACCTTTAATTAAATGTATATTCATTTTATAAAAATTTTCGATTTTTTTTTTTTTGTAAAATAACCTCAAGCCAATATTTATTTCTTCTTAAATTACTTTTAAATTATCTATTCAAATAAATAATAACGATAACGAGAGAAAAGAGAATGGGTAATAAAAAGGAGAGGTATATGTTTAAGGGTTTTTATAACTAAAAAATTGGAGCATACTTTAGGGGATAATTTAAATAATAATGTATTGATGGATTTTGTAATGTATTTTTTCAAGTTAAGGAAATGAGGTTTTTTGTATGTGAGTTTATGGAAGTTTGTGTATATGTTGTTTGTTATGTGGGATAAATATTGTGGTATTTGTAGGGTAATATTGAATTTAATTTTCTATAACTTAATATAATTGCGTTTCCTTAATTAACCTGTTGGCCCTATGTAATTAACTTATTATCCATTTAATATACTTATACATCTAGTGCTTGATAATGTGCTGTGATAATGGAATAATTATGAGCTTACCTGGAGCCATAATGGGTTCACCAATGTTGACATAGAAGAGTACATCTTTTTCATAACTGCCTTCCTCAATTATACCCAGTTGTATAATTTTTCTGCAAAAAAAAATAAAAAATAATAATTCAATCATTTGGTAATTTTTGACAGTTTTTGGAATTTTATTGGATTTTAAGATAATTGATTTTAAAAGATTTGCACGTTACAGTAGTACGATCTTGACCAAAGATCTATAAGCAGATTTTGGATCTGGGATTTTATATAACCTTTAGTCTTGCCCCCATATAATCCCTCTTTCAGATTTTTTTCTCCACAAATTTTAAAAATAGTACGAAATTAAGGTAAAAAGTTGCTTAAATTCTTTATTATTAAAAATATTTCACATTTCTAACCTATTCACTGGTGTAGGGTATAATATGGCCATATCCCATATCCCACTATACATTCTTACTTGTTTGACTTTCGTTTTGTTGATAATGAAACCTGGTTCTGAGCTTTACCACATGTGAAAGCTCATTCAATATTTGTATCTGCATTAAAGAGCATTCTTTGCCTAATGCGTTTTCAAGAATGTGAGCTCAAACCAGTGTTCTCAAAATTTCCCTGCCATTTCCGGTTAAACCATCAAAAAAACGCTCGAAACTGTTAGATTTAGGTTTTATTTTACAAAATAAGCACTAAATTTCCACAAATTTAAAAAAATTAAGAATATTGAATCTCAGTTATAGACTAGGGTACCGATAATAGTCCAGACTTTAGATTATACTGAAGACTATATATAGACTATAGACTGGACTATGGACTAGACTATAGACTAGGCCATAGACATATAGACTAGTCTATAGACTAGACTATAGATTAGACTATAGAATAGACTATAGACTAGACTATAGACTAGACTATAGACTAGACTATAGACTAGACTATGGACTAGACTATAGACTAACTATATACTAGACTATGGACTAGACTATAGACTAGACTATAGACTAGACTATAGACTAGACTAGACTAACTATAGACTAGACTATAGACTAGACTAGACTAGACTATAGACTAGACTATACTAGACTATAGACTATACTATAGACTATAACTAGCCTATAGACTAGACTATAGACCAGACTATAGACTAGACTATAGACTAGACTATAGACCAGACTATAGACTAGACTATAGACTAGACTATAGACTAGACTATAGACCAGACTATAGACTAGACTATAGACTAGACTATAGACCAGACTATAGACTAGACTATAGACTAGACTATAGACTAGACTATAGACTAAACTATAGACTAACTATAGACTAGACTATAGAATATAGACTAGACTACAGACTAGACTATAGACTAGACTATAGACTAGACTATAGACTAGACTATAGACTAGACAATAGACTAGACTATAGACTAGACTATAGACTAGACTATAGACTAGACTAGAGACTAGACTATAGACTAGACTATGCCTAGACTAGACTATAGACTGACTATAGAAACTTAACTATGGACTATGACTAGACTATAGACTAGACTATAGACTGACTATAGACTAGACTATAGACTAGACTATAGACTAGACTATAGACTAGACTATAGACTAGACTATAGACTAGACTATAGACTAGACTATAGACTAGACTATAGACTAGACTATAGACTAGACTATAGACTAGACTATAGACTAGACTATAGACTAGACTATAGACTAGACTATAGACTAGACTATGACTATAGACTAGACTATAGGACTATAGACTAGACTATAGACTAGACTATGGACTAGACTAGACTATAGACTAGACTAGACTAGACTACTATAGACTAGACTAGATAGACTACTAGACTATAGACTAGACTATAGACTAGACTATAGACTAGACTATAGACTAGACTATAGACTAGACTATAGACTAGACTATAGACTAGACTATAGACTAGACTATAGCACTAGACTATAGACTAGACTATAGACTAGACTATAGACTAGACTATGACTAGACTATAGACTGACTATAGACTAGACTATAGACTAGACTATAGACTGGACTATAGACTAGACTACTATAGACTAGACTATAGACAATAGACTAGACTATAGACTAGACTATAGACTAGACTAGACTAGACTATAGACTAGACTATAGACTAGACATAGACTAGACTATAGACTAGACTATAGACAATAGACTAGACTATAGACTAGACTATAGACTAGACTATAGACAATAGACTAGACTATAGACTAGACTATAGACTAGACTATAGACTAGACTATTGACTAGACTATAGACTAGACTATAGACTGACTATAGACAGACTATAGACTAGACTATAGACAAGACTATAGACTAGACTATAGACTAGACTATAGACTAGACTATAGACTAGACTATAGACAAGACTATAGACTAGACTATAGACTAGACTATAGACTAGACTATAGACTAGACTATAGACTAGACTATAGACTAGACTATAGACTAGACTATAGACTAGACTATAGACTAGACTATAGACTAGACTATAGACTAGACTATAGACTAGACTATAGACTAGACTATAGACTAGACTATAGACTAGACTATAGACTAGACTATAGACTAGACTATAGACTAGACTATAGACTAGACTATAGACTAGACTATAACTAGACTATAGACTAGACTATAGACTAGACTATAGACTAGACTATAGACTAGACTATAGACTAGACTATAGACTAGACTATAGACTAGACTATAGACTAGACTATAGACTAGACTATAGACTAGACTATAGACTAGACTATAGACTAGACTATAGACTAGACTATAGACTAGACTATAGACTAGACTATAGACTAGACTATAGACTAGACTATAGACTAGACTATAGACTAGACTATAGACTATATATAGACTAGACTATAGACTAGACTATAGACTAGACTATAGACTAGACTATAGACTAGACTATAGACTAGACTATAGACTAGATATAGACTAGACTATAGACTAGACTATAGACTAGACTATAGACTAGACTATAGACTAGACTATAGACTAGACTATAGACTAGACTATAGACTAGACTATAGACTAGACTATAGATAGACTATATAGACTAGACTATAGACTAGACTATAGACTAGACTATAGACTAGACTATAGACTAGACTATAGACTAGACTATAGACCAGACTATGACTAGACTATAGACTAGACTATAGACTAGACTATAGACTAGACTATAGACTAGACTATAGACTAGACTATAGACTAGACTATAGACTAGACTATAGACTAGACTATAGACTAGACTATAGACTAGACTATAGACTAGACTATAGACTAGACTATAGACTAGACTATAGACTAGACTATAGACTAGATCTATAGACTAGACTATAGACTAGACTATAGACTAGACTATAGACTAGACTATAGACTAGACTATAGACTAGACTATAGACTAGACTATAGACTAAACTATAGACTAGACTATAGACTAGACTATAGACTATACTATAGACTAGACTAGAGACTAGACTATAGACTAGACTATAGACTAGACTATAGACTAGACTATAGACTAGACTATAGACTAGACTATAGACTAGACTATAGACTAGACTATAGACTAGACTATAGACTAGACTATAGACTAGACTATAGACTAGACTATAGACTAGAACTATAGACTAGACTAATAGACTAGACTATAGACTAGATATAGACTAGACTATAGACTAGACTATAGACTAGACTATAGACTAGACTATACTAGACTTATAGACTAGACTATAGACTATAGACTAGCTTAGCTAGACTATTAGACATACTATAGACTAGACTATAGACTAGACTAAGACTAGACTATAGACTAGACTATAGACTAGAATATAGACTAGACTATAGACTAGACTATAGACTAGACTATAGACTAGACTATAGACTAGACTATAGACTAGACTATAGACTAGACTATAGACTAGACTATAGACTAGACTATAGACTAGATTATAGACTAGACTATAGACTAACTATAGACTAGACTATGACTAGACTATAGACTAGACTATAGACTAGACTATAGACTAGACTATAGACTAGAACTATAGACTAGACTATAGACTAGACTATAGACTAGACTATAGACTAGACTATAGACTAGACTATAGACTAGACTATGAGACTAGACTTATAGACTAGACGTAATAGACCTAGACATAATGACTAGACTAATAGACTAGACCTATAGACTAGACTATAGACTAGACTATAGACTAGACTTATAGACTAGACTATAGACTAGACGATAGACTAGACTATAGACTAGACCTATAGACTAGACTATAGACTAGACTATAAGACTAGACTATAGACTTAGACTATAGACTAGACTATAGACTAGACTATAGACTAGACTATAGACTAGACTATAGACTAGACTATAGACTAGACTATAGACTAGAATATAGACTAGACTATAGATTAGACTATAGACTAGACTATAGACTAGACTATAGACTAGACTATAGACTAGACTATAGACTAGACTATAGACTAGACTATAGACTAGACTATAGACTAGACTATAGACTAGACTATAGACTAGACTATAGACTAGACTATAGACTAGACTATAGACTAGACTATAGACTAGACTATAGACTAGACTATAGACTAGACTATAGACTAGACTATAGACTAGACTATAGACTAGAATATAGACTAGACTATAGACTAGACTATAGACTAGACTATAGACTAGACTATAGACTAGACTATAGACTAGACTATAGACTAGACTATAGACTAGACTATAGACTAGACTATAGACTAGATTATAGACTAGACTATAGACTAGACTATAGACTAGACTATAGACTAGACTATAGACTAGACTATAGACTAGACTATAGACTAGACTATAGACTAGACTATAGACTAGATATAGACTAGATTATAGACTAGATTATAGACTAGACTATAGACTAGACTATAGACTAGACTATAGACTAGATTATAGACTAGACTATAGCCTAGACTATAGACTAGACTATAGACTAGACTATAGACTAGACTATAGACTAGACTATAGACTAGACTA